ATGGGGAAAAGTCTTGATAAAAATGTCCCGGATTGTTTACTGGAGAAGCTGTGTTTTTTCTAGTTATTTGAGGACTCCAGGAGGTGATTTCTACTGCTGCTGTTCCCAGTGCTCTTTGCCATTTGGACTGAGCCCAGAAAGGGAACACGGGCAGGCTCTGAGCTCAGTATTCCTGAGGAATACCTCCCAGTTCAGAGACGTATGCCAAGTGGTTACAACATACCAGGTGCTAAGGGTACAAAGACCAGTAAGATTAAAAAAAGCAGAGGGGGGGTAGTGATCAAGTCTGCTTGAGAGAAACACATGACCAACTCTGTCAGGGGAAATACAAGAAGGTCACCAACTCTACCTAAGACCACTGGAGAAGACATCAGTGCCTAAAAATGATGGCCTCATAGCACTTGTCATCTGGTGTAATTATAAAATCTAGTGTATCAATCTGGTTTACTACTCTAATGCTCCTCGAGGGCCAGGACTGCCTGTGACATATTTCAGGGCAGCTTCACGTACGACTTGGTATAGAGTGATCATTGCTGTAATTATTTCTGAAAGAATAAATTAACATTTTTTTGTCTTGAAAAATGAGCAGAAATGCAAAAGAAAGAAGGGTGAGTGCTACAGATGAAGGGAGAGGCACGAAGCAAAAACATGGAATTGGGAAATTCAGTGGGGTTTTTAGGGAATGCAGTCAGTCATTCCTGGAGCTTGGGGTGACTTGGGGTGAAGGATGGTAACAGAGGAATGCTGGGAGAGTGGCCAGGGATCAGAGTGTGGAGGGCCTTGGGCTCTGCAAAGAATTTGGACTTAAATTTGTAGGCAATAGGACCATTCCAAGTTGTAAAGCAGGGAAAATTCGATCACATTTGTGTCTCAGAGACATCGACGGCAGCAGCATGGCGGTCAGCCGGGGGAGAGGGAGGTCAGAGATGACCAAAGGTCCTTTTGTGAGTGGAGAATGGAGGGACGGGCAGGCACTTAAAAGACAATTCAGAGTAGCACTGTTATTAAGAGAATAGAAAGAGTTGAAGATGACATTCAGGTTCTTGTTTGGTTCGGGCATTGTGCAAGAAACCAAGATAGAAAATATAAGAAGGGAAACGAGGAGGAAGGAGAGATGATTAATTCAGGTTCGAATATTTGGAGTTTGAGGAGCCTACACATTTCCAGGGCGAGCCCTTGTGTCTGAGTCAGCAACATGAAGCCCAGAAGAGATGTTGGGGCCAGAGGTATAGTTTGGGGTGTGGGAGTTGGAGTCACTTAATTGGATGAGAAACCCAGTTCCCATGGAGACAGAAGAGAAACAATGAGGCCTAGAGGAAATTGAGATTCTCTTCTCCCTTTTTAAAAGTGTAATGAGCCCTGGCCGGTTTGGCTCAGCGGTTAGAGCATCGGCCTGCGGTCCGGAGAGACCCGGGTTCGGTTCCCGCTAAGGTCGCGTACCTCGGTTGCAGTTTGTCCCCGGCCCTGGTCGGTTGTGCGGGTGGCAGCCACTCGATGTGTCTCTTTCACGTCGATGTTTCTCTCTCTCTCTCTTCCTCTCTCTCCTTCCCACTCTATCTGTGCAAAAAATGGAAAAATGTCCTCGGGTGAGGATAAAAAATAAAAAAAAAAGTGTAATGAGCCCTGGAAGTTTTGCTCAGTGGTTAGAGCATCAGCCCAAGGACCAGAGGTCGTGGGTTTGATTCCAGTCAAAGGCACTACCTGGGTTGCAAGTTCGATCCCTGACCCTGGTTCGGGTTGTGCAACCAATCAATGTGTCTCTCTCACATTGATGTTTCTCTCTCTCCCCCTCCCTCCCTTCCACTCTCTCTAAAATAATCAGTGAAAAAATATCCTTAGGTGGGGATAAACACAACAACAACAATAATAATAATAATAATAATAATAAAAGTGTAATGATTTTCTCCCTGTTATAAAAATATCTAAAAACCAACAACAGGCCCGAGTAAGTGGACATGACACTCAATTACGTGCTCCAGAGGTCCTCGCAGTTCTACGGCTGTGAGAGGTGCGCCGGCCCCTGCAGGCCGGGCGAGCTGCCCGGGGAGTCGGCTGCTGTGCGTCAGGTCACGCGGGGCTTCTCGGACTCCGCGCGTCCAGCAGTTTACCAGCACTTCCTGAAGAGTCTGTACATGAGCCCCAGGTGCAGGAGCCAGCCCAGTACAGAGGGAAAAGCTTGAGTCAGAGCATCAGAACAATGGAGCTTTCAGAATCACTTTTATTGCTAACTGGCCCGAAATGTCAAGCTTCTGTGATGATGAGCCGCCTCAGCAGTTTCCAGTGGCGACCGAAGGAGGGAGCCACAGGCAGGGTGAACGAGGTCGGGCCTATGGGCGCAAGAGAGGCCTGGAGCACGGCGACAGGAATTCAGGTTAGGGTGGCAATTTTTGGTTGAATTCTTAGTAAAAGGATGAGTGAAAAGAATTAGAAGTTGAGCCCTGGCCGGTTTGCTCAGCGGTTAGAGCGTCGACCTGTGGACCAGAGAGACCTGGGTTCGTGTTCCCGCTAAGGGCACGTGCCTCGGTTGCAGCAACCAGTCAGATGTGTCTCTCTCACATTGATGTTTTTCTCTCTTTCTTCCCTCCTTTCTCCCTCCCATTCTATCTGAAGATAAATGCAAAAAAAAAATGTCCTCAGGTAAGGGTTAAAAAAAAATAGAATTAGAAGTTGAAGAATGTACAGAGAATAGATTGGTAGTTGGCCAGAGGCGGGGAGTAAGCGGTGAGTGAAATGGGTGATGGTAGTCAGAAGGTACAAACTTCCAGTCGAAAGATGAATACGTGTGGGGATGGAGGTGTGGGGATGGAGTACACAGCGTGGTGGCTGTGGGTAATGATACTGCATTGTATATCTGAAAGTTGCTAAGAGTAGCTCTTAAACATTCTCCCCCCAAGAAAAGAATTTGTAACTATGTGTGTGATGGATGTTGACTAGACTTATTGTGGTGATCATCTTCACAATATACACAAATATCAAATCATTATGTTGTATACCTAAAGTAAATATAATGTTACACAGCAATTGTATCTCAATAAAACCGGAGAGAGGAGTTGAAGAATGTAACAACTTTAGGAAGAATAGTTAGTTATTCAGGGAACAAACTCAACAGTGGTCTCATGAATAATAGTTTTTGATGAAAAGAAATCATTACAGCCTGGCCTGTGTGGCTCAGTGGATTGAGCATCGTCCCACGGACTGAGAGATCAGGGTTCGGTTCCTAGTCAGGGCACATGCCCGGGTTGTGGGCTCAATCCCCAGTAGGGGGCGTGCAGGAGGCAGCCAATCAATGTTTTTCTCTCACATCAATATTTCTCTCTCTCCCTTCCTTTCTCTCTAAAAAAATCAATAAAAATAAAATTTAAAAAAATTACATATTGCACATTAAAGACAATAGCAGAAGTATGTTGCTGGAGATGTGGTTAGGGTAGGCTTTCTGGAGGATATAAAACTTGAACTAACCCTTTAGACAGAAGTAAAGAGGTAGATTATCAGTCAGGGAAAATGACATGAGCACAAAGGAACAGGCTTGTGTATAAATTGGAATGATAACTGGAATGACACAGTGACTAGTTTAGCAAGTCGATCATTTTCTAATACAAGAAAAAACAGATTTGTGCATGAGTTGGGAATTTTATTTTATTACTGTCTCAGTTGACAGCAACTCTACTCTTCTGGTCACTCAGGCCAAACTTGGGGTCATTGTTGGCTCCTTTTTGTTTGTTTGTTTCACATCCCACATCTAATCAACATCAAGAAAACAGATCGTGGTCCCTCCACTGTTAATACCCAGCCTCAGCTGCTGTAATTTCTAGACTAGATGACCACTGGAGCCTCCAAACTGGTTTGTTTCATCCCTGCCCTCATGCAATCAACTCTCAACACTGCAGCCAGAGGGCTCCCCCGAAACACATTCTGCTTACACTCCCTCAGGAGGCCCTTGAGAAGTAATAGTACATTTCAAGTATGTTTCAAAGCAGGAACAGTAGCTGAGAGCTGCTGGGTCTGCCACACCCACTCTGCTCTTCTTCATCTCATCTCCCGCACACTCCCCCTTGCACTGGCCGCTCGTGGGCACACTCTTGCCTCAGGGATCTGGCTGTGTTCTGCCTGGAATGCTCTTCTCCCAAAGAGCTGCAAAGTTGACTCCTGCTCAAATGTCATCTTCGCAGCAAGGCCCCCCTTCGCTTTCCTATGCAACACAGCTTCCGCTCCTGTCTGCCTCCCGCACCTCCACCACCCACCCCTCCTCGGAGCTGGGCAGGAGAAACTTCTGCAGCCCGTCTACACATGGTTCTTAGATGCTCTCATCTCAAACCAACTGCAGCAGACCTCCTTCCTTCTGGAGACTTCCCACTTTCTGGGCTGGGACTTAGGTCAGTGGATCCAAGTGCTTATAGTCAGTGGCTTTTACAGCAAAGTGGTGACCATGATGTCTGTTGTAATAGAACAAGTAGAAGTAAACATAGGAGAACATTACTCAAGAAGGATTTGTAATATATAGACTGATGTCTCGATATTTAAGAAGGATCCACTTTTTTTTTTTTTATCCTCACCCAAGGACATTTTTGCATTTATCTTCAGATAGAGTGGGAGGGAAAGGAGGAAGAGAGAGAAACATCGATGTGAAAGAGACACATTGACTGGCTGCCACCCACACCACCCCAACCAGGGCCAGGGACAAATTGCAACCGAGGTACATGCTCTTAACGGGAGCCAAACCCGGGACTCTCTGGTCCGCAGGCCGACGCTTTAACCACTGAGCCAAGCCAGCCAGGGCAAGAAGGATCCACTTTTATTATTATAAAACTTAAATCTAGTTTTAAAGCCATTGTTTATAATTTGGCTTTTCAAGAAATGAAAACACCTATTATACTTAGATTTGAATTCTTCTTACCTATTATAATCCTATATATCATCTCTCCCAAATAGATATAATTACACCTTTTTAAAATTATATAAAGGTTAGCATTCCTTTATTTTGATAATATGCTTTTCTCCTCCAAATATTTAGTCCTTAAAGCTTTTAAGTGAGTAAGATCAAGCAAATCATTCTAGAAATGTATAGTAAAATCTTTCGGCTCAAAGAAGAAAGGACCAATGGGGAGAAGAACCATAGGATTTGAGAACTAGGAGAGATCTTCGGGGTGCGCCAACCCAGTGCCTCTGTTTGCTGTTACAGGACTCAAAACCTAGAGTGTGAGTCATGTAGCCGATTGACCGTGAGCTGGTCCTGGACGCCAAGCCTCCTGAAGGCCAGTGGAGTGATGTCTTCATTATCCCAGACCAACCTGAAAACAATTTGCAGTAATTATGCAGCTGGCCAATTTTATTTATTAGTGAGCACGAGCCCATACATTTGGGGAAGACCAGGCCACATCACCCCTACACTAGCACTCTTCCACGTGCAGTGAGATTTCATTTGGAAATGTGCAGAACTGTCTTCTATAAAACCTGCGTGTTTTGCTCTGGCGATTTCCTCCGGCATTCACCCATTTGTCATGAAGTATTAACTCCCTGTTCCATGTGTGCATGTGTGTTCATTTCTCAGGATCTAATGAGGAAGCATTGGATCGAAGAACTGTGGGATGGGGTAATGTTCAAGAGTGAAGAAATAATAGAAATCTTGTCAGGCGAAATTATTGGAATGAAATGGTGTCAACATGATAACCAAGGTGGGGCTCTTGGGACACTTTGGGGCCCGGGATGTCTGAGGAGAGTCAACCCACTTCCCTGCTTATCCTCATGATGTTTCTAGTGCCAGGTTGCTAGGGACACTCTTTACTCCCCATTCTAACTCCTAGCCCTTAATTGTCACAAAAACAAACACAAGTTTGCTACTCTTCACACTTGTTTCAATAAGGAATACATCGATAGTGGCTCCAGTAATTGATGTGACAGAGCAGAATTGAAAGTGTATCTCTGTTCCTTACGTTGCCATCTGTGCTAGGAGTTCCTTTCTTGAGTAATTGCAGAGGTTTTGCAACTGTTCATATAGCATTTGAAATCCTAGACTTCTACTCCCGTGAGACTGTCATAGTCAGACTGTATACGTCTCTCATCAGTTGAATGAGAGTCACTTTATTATCTTAAATGTGCATTCCCCTCCATCTTACCCTACTTTCTGTTACCCGACCTTCAGCAAGTGGCATTCACAATGGAGGAGACTGGGGACCTTCAAGATAAATCTATTGTCACCAAGGTATGGAGATTTTGTAAGCTGTTCTATGTTTTTAGAACAAAACACATTCTAAGAATAAAAAATATTTAGCACACGTATTCATGCTTACACCAAATTAAAGGGGGAAGCATGGCATATTTCTCTTTTACAGCCGAGGTCCCAGGCCTTAGATATTTGGAATGCAGCCTGTGCCCTGTTGGCAGGGAGTCGGAGTCAATTTACAACGTGTGATATGATAACACATGTTCTGGATCAGTGGCAGGGGAATGCTTGGAGCTGTAATTCTGTCTGTCTCCCCATTAGCAGGAAGCCTTGCTAAACTCACAGCTGGAGAAGGGCCTAAAAACAAGCAGGCTGTGCACGCACGTGTGTGTGTGTGTGTGTGTGTGTGTGCATGTGTGTGTCTGCGTGCGTTTGCGTTTATAAAGGCAACACAAGACCCAGCCCCAGGGATAAATGCTAAATGAAGTAAATGAAGGCCATCAAAAATAACCTTTCATCACATAGATCAACTAATATCTAGTGCAGATTAACTTTCTCAGTGCTGTTGTCTACCTTTGTGTGGAACTAATGATACAGATGATGCTTAACAACAGTAGAGAAAGAAAACAACTCTAGACCCATTGGTTGTAGGAAGAAAATCAAATGGAAAGTGTTCATTTTAATAGGGCACGAAGGGAGGAATACAAGATTCATGCAACGGGAGCTGAAACCCGATATCCCTGAGGCACAAGGTAGAAGCTGACGCTTGGCCCTGGTGAGCTGAGCATTCAGAAAACATGTAAGTGCGTGTAAGTGCAAACATGTAGCTAGCATAATTCAGCAGGCTTCGAGAAGCCAAATACTAAGCTTAGGCAAGAAAGAGCAAATGTTGTTCTTTGAAAAGATGTAAATTATTTGCTCATTGAGCTCAGCAGAAAACTATTTATATAATGTAGCCCTACTTTTATAGTTCTCATTTCTTAAAGTCAGTGTTCTGTGCCTTTCTATCATCTTACCACTTTTATCCTGCTTAGATACACAGTGCTTGTCTTGTGATTATCATGAACAATGAACAAATGAATGAGTGAATGAATGGTCATGTGATTTAAAATATTCAGACTACTAAAAGCACTGAGCCAATCAAGGTTGATTTGGTGCTTTGGGACTATTTCACTAGTTCACAACACGATCAGTTTAATTATGGCTGGCCTATAGATCACCAAATATTTATGAAAAGAGCCAACACGGTTAAACGGTCAAGGTAAAATCATCTCTTCCAGGAGAAACAAGGTTATGATTTTACCATCATTTGTTCAGAATTAGAGCTGTAAGAATTTATAAACCTTCTATTGACTTAGGATTATATTTAAAGAACACACTGGCTAACTGCTTTTGAGAGTGAAGCTCTAGTCTCCAGGGCAAGAATTTATAATGCATTTCTCAATTGGCAAAGTGCTTCTACACACATTATTTTATTGAATCCTCTCGACCTCTCACCTTTCATTTGAAGATATCATCTAGGCTTCTTCAGAGGTGAGCTGAAGCATTTGGTCTTAATAACTGAGCAACATTTTCCCAAATTCTTGTCTTGCTTCAACTTCCTCTGACAACTAGAAAGACTGTCTTGGCCATTTCCTGCTCAGAGCCCTGCTTCATCTGAGCCTCCGGCCTGTGTACCGGCTTCCTGCTTCAGAGATGTCTTTGGTTATCTGCTCACTTGAAAAGCAGAAGTCCAATCACTGAGAACTTTTCCCATTTAGATAACCAGCTCTTCTCTTTGATGACCCACTCACTCTACAGTAATCTAGTGTCCTATTAAACCACATACAAGTGTTCCCCTTGCAATTAAAAATTTTAAACCATTTGACAGAAAAAATGCATAAACTAATTGTTAATGACTATGGCTTCTCAAATTTGTTGCATCTTGGTTCAACACACCTCTTCCATGTTGATCCTGGTGCTCACACCCCTTCCTCCTTCATGAACCCCGTGTTCTGCCCAAAGGAAGCACTCTCCTCCACCCCTTCCCGATTTTACTGCCTAGAAATCCCTTACTTTTTTCTCTTTATAGTATTTTTTTTTTTATCCTCACCCGAGGACATTTTTCCATTTTTTTTTGTTCAGATAGAGTGGGGGAGAGAGAGAGAGAGAGAGAGAGAGAGAGAGAGAGAGAGAGAGAGAAACATTGATGTGAAAGGGACACATCGAGAGGTTGCCACCCGCACGACCCAACCAGGGCGGGGGACAAACTGCAACTGAGGTATGTGCCCTTAGCAGAAACTGAACCCAGGTCTCTCTGGACTACAGGCTGATGCTCTAACTGCTAAGCCAAACTGACCAGGGCTCTTTATAGTCTTTTAAAACCCCATTTATATATATTTGTCATTGTACTAAGTAGTTTTTCACGGAATCTATCATAGTTGTCTTTGCCATTTCCACGTTGGTGGATTTATTTGAGGTGTATCTAGTTTGGAGCTATTACAAATGACATTGCCATAAATATCTTGTTAAATGTCTTTTAATTAAAATTATTTTCTGAAAATACATTTCTAAGAATATTAATGTGTCAAAGTTTCTGGTTATTTTTATGGCTCTTATTCTGTATTCAGGTTGCCCTCAAGAAAAAGTACTGACTCATCCTGTCCTTGGCACTGTGGAAGTGGGCTTCTTTGAATCTTTCCCAACACTAGATTTTATAATAATTTTGTTGCTGCTGTTAATCACTATAAAGTGATACTGCTGAATTATCTTGATTTGCACTTTCAAGTGGGCTGATCTGTCCATATACATTTTCAGGACTGAGATACTCTTTAACATACACCCAAAGTAATTTCCCAGGGGAATGGGATGGGTAATTTCTTTAAATCTATGGGGCTGACTCAGAGGAATCTGCCTACCCATGGCGGGGGGGGGGGGGGGGGGGGGGGGGGGGGGAGGGGTGGACTTGATGGCTCTTGGCCAAAGTTGCTGCCACTACTCTAGTGTAGATGCTGCTTCCCCCACACACAGGTGATCGCGAGCCTCTCACCGAACTTCCTCTCTCCGGCATTTAGCCACGGCTTCCAGTCGAAGTGCTCGCGGAGGAACCGGCCCGGGAGGCACACACGGGCACACAGCCAGCTGCGACTGGCACCTCGGACTCCCGAGTCCTAGACTGTGCTCTTTCCCTCGTCTTGCCCCTGCACCGCGTGCTGGGGACCCGGGTGTCGCAGAGAGCGGGCGGGTGTTGGGGGCTCTCCTTGGAGCTCCTGGAGGCCTCTGCGGAGGGCCCCGCACCCACCGGCCGCGATTCTGCTTCCCAGCTGCTCCAGTGTGGGATGGGCCTGCTGTCACCTCCCTGCTCTGGTGGGCAGCTGCCTCACCTCAGGTTTGCTCCATGCTTCCTGTTCGCCTCCCGCCTGGTTTCCCTTCCTGAGCCAAAGGACCTGCTGCCCTGCACGGCGGCCGCGGCCAGGGCCCTGCCACCGCTGGAAACTGCATGGAGCTGATTTACTGCGCCGTGAGGCCCCTTGATCACGAGGCTGCAGCTTCCTTCCTGAGGGAGGTGTATCAGAGGCCTACGGTTAGCATGTCACGGAGTCAGATGGCATGGTTTGTACACTCACACACACACACACACACACACACAATGAGTGCAGTCTGTGTTGCAGCAAAACGTGTTCACCAACCCATAAGCACACACCCTGGAGCCAGACTGCCCAGAGCGGATCCTGGCTCCCCACTTAGCTCTGTGACCTCGGGAAGTTACTTAGCCTCTGCCCCCTAAGTGTTTGCTCCTTCATGGCTACTCCTAGAAAGAGGAGGGGGATTCTAGGAGGAGAACCAGGTCCGTCTCACCTGAGCTGTGCCTTTTCAGGTGGTACTCAGCTTCATTTCGCAGCTGGAGGAAAAGGAAGGAAGCCCCTCCTGGACCGGGGAGCCTGGAACTTGTGTCTAAACGGGAGAACAGACACGGGGGCATGTTCACGAGGTGGGGGCATTCGGTTCACATCGGCCTGGCATGAAGTCCACCGGGTAGAAGCATTTCATGGGCCCTTACCAGTGCGTCTCTCCTGCAGTGACCATACAAAAAGGGTTTACCTTCCTCGGGTTCTCATGTTATTTTTCTTACTATAGGAAACCACAGTAACGAAACACCATCAATGAAGCATTTACCATGTGCCGGGCGGTCTTCTACAGGCCTTCGTACACTAACTTGTTTTTCTGCCACAACTTATGAGGTTAGACTATTATTCGCTCCACTTTACAGGTAAGTAACTAAGGCACAGAGAGGTTAAGTAACCTGCCCAGGGCCCCACGGATTGGACACAGATTCCACCAACTGTGCACTTTGCCAAGTGGCCCCCGGCCGGCAGTGAGGTCTGCACCTAAGGGAAGCTCTCACTCCCCCGTTATCACTTCTTCTGCAGAACATCTGGCTCCCTGCTGCTGACCTGGCAGTTTTTTTATTTGAACTTAAAGTGCCAAATTTAACACGATTGTAATCTGAAAGCACGCCGATTCAGGAAGCTGCAAAGTCGCTGCACGCAGTGGATTCTGAAGTAGTAAGAAATGATGAATAAAAAAAGTCCAGGCTTCCTGCTTTCAAGCTACCAGGTCTGGACAGAAAATCATTCAAACGTTAGACACGGCAAGGACCTTAGAGGTCATATCATTTTACAGTTTCATTTTATAGGCAAGAAAAAAGAGCCAGGGAGGCGACGTGCTTTGTTCAAGCTTGTGAAACATATTTTCCAAAACGGCAGTTAGGTTGTTTAGATGGGTAAGTCAGATAAGTGCTATTGAAATACTACTATTAGGATCCTAATGATGGAAATGGACATATGGTATTAGTTTGATGAGCCCCTACAGCAACCTGGGTTCACATGACTTAATTCATATAATAGAACAAGGTGACCTCACCTAGACAGACCATTTCTACTAGCAGGCATGCCGTTGTTTCTGGAACTGTGACATATTCAAAGACTAGAAGCTGGTTATGCATGACTGACATCCTCTTAAAACAATTAGTTCTCTTGGAGCCGTGACGGCTTTTATTCGCTGTTTCCCATTTCAGCGTGCCTTGTGTACATTTCTAGTGATCACCATCACATCATGGTCAGCACTATCCTTCCATTCTTTTGAAGGTAGAAAGGCAGTATAGCCCTGGTGGTCAAGAGCCTGGGTTTGGCCCTGGCCAGTTTGGCTCAGCGATTAGAGCATCAGCCTGCGGCACAGAGAGACCCGGGTTCGGTTCCTGCTAAGGGCACGTACCTTGGTTGCGATTCATCCCTGGCCCTGGTTGGGTCGTGCGGGAGGCAGCCACTCAATGTATCCCTTTCACGTTGATGTTTCTCTCTCTCTTTTCCTTTCCCTCCCACTCTATCTGAACAAAAAATGGGAAAAATACCTCGGGTGAGGATATATATAAAAAAAAAAAGAGCCTGGGTTTGAATTCTAGCTTTGGGCCTTACTGGTTTATGACCTCGGGCAGTTATAGCTTACCTATCTTTGCCACAATTTCTCTATCTGTAAAATAGGGGTAAAGGTAGTACCTACAGCCCATGGGGTTGTTGGAAGGATTAAATGACAACACACACAGAGCACTTAGGATAGGGCTTGGCATGCTGTAAGCACTAGTATGAGGGTTGTCTGTCACTATTTCTAGAAGAAGTTGAATTATAATCGAATCACTCAGACTGTTTGATGGAGCTGAAAAAGCACTTACTATTTCTGCTTCCCAGACTAAGGCTGGGCCTTATTTTATAGTTTGACTGGGACCCTAAAAAGCAGTTTTTCCAAGATCATTTACCAAGAAATTGACTCAATTTACAGAATTGCAATCCTTGCCAACCTTCTGAAGTCTACTTCTGTATCTTTTCCAAAAGCAAGCAAGCAAGAAAGCCAACCAGGAAGAGAAAAATAAATTCTACTCCTTAGTCTGCTTTGTGAATTCCCAAGTAGAAAATTTTAATAATAGGTATAAACAAGTCAGTTAATACAGTCACTATCTTAGAGGTTTATACAAATAACTTTCCCCGACAGACTACAAGCTGGAATGTACTATAGTCAGTAGAGGATCTAGATCTGTTTGTCCAAAAATGTGGAGACTCAAAAGAAAAATGACAGACTTGACTGGATTCCATATTGACCTTCATTCATCACCTGGGAGCATGCATAGGTGAGGTGTTCTGCAGCTCTATGTAACAACAGTAACTTATTTTTAATGACTATAGCTTAGACTTTTATAAACTTTTTTCCTAGCCTTCCTAAGAGCATCCTAAAATAATTAGCATTAAAACATGAAAAAGAAAAGGAAGATTCCAAGTGAGTTCTTGCTGCTTCATCTTTAGAGACAGTACAGTGTAGCAGATTGGAGCCCAGTTTTAACTCCGGTTAACAATGTATCCCTCTCAATCTCAATGTCTAACATGAAATAAAAACGATAAAACTAATCCTGTTGTGTTTCTACATAAGACGTGCATGTAAAGTGAGTGCCCAGGGACTGTTCTCCCTTTCCTTAGACATGAGAAATAATATTTTGATTAGAAAAAGGTGTCCCCTCTGGGAGGACACAGCATCATAGGCATGGGTTTGGCCATTGGTCACTGTGAGATCAGCAGAAGGTTCTTCTCGCTCCAGGCATCCTCGAGCCAAGGCCTGGCTTCGTCAATCAGAGCTGGACGTCAGTCCCCACTCCTGGGTAGCTCCATGCACAACCACATGGCAGTCCTGTATAAATAATAAGAAGGAGACAGAGGTGACAGTCAGGACAAAGAGCTTTCCAGGTAGAGAAAACAGCAAGTGCAAAGGCCCTGAGATGGGTGTCAAACCTGGTGGGCCTGGTGAACCCGAAGGCCCCTGGGTTGGAGAACAGTTATCAAGGGGAAGACTACGAGAAGGTGAGTTTGGAAAGGTGAGCAGGAGCCAGACCTCACAGTTTCATGCAGGACAGGATAGGAGATCGATTGTATCCTAATTGTATAGGAATCCACTGGAGGGTTTTACACACAATCTGAATTATGTTTTCAAAAGATCACTCTGACCATTACACAACCAAGATGTAAGGGGTGAGAGTGGAAGCCGAGAGACCAGGAGTAGGCAGTTGGAGGCTGCATGAGGAATGAGGCGCTTCCATCAGGGTAGTGATGGAGGAAGGAGAGGTGTGGGGAATACTCTGGAGGTGAGCACCACGGAACTTCTTGATAGATTTAAAGTGTGTAAAGAGAAAAGGAATTAAATAAATATGACTCTTTGGATTTTGGCTTGAGCAACTGGGTTGATGGCACTGCCATGCACCAGAAGTTAGGAAGACTAGGGGTGCGTGGGTTTGGATAAGTGGAATCAAGAATTTTGGATATGTTAGGTTTGAGATTCTTATTAGACATTCAAGTAGAGATGGCAGGTAGGCAGTTGGATATATGAGTGTGGAACTTCAGATCAAGGCTATAATGGTATTTTGGACTCATCAGCTTATAGATATTATTTAAAACCATGAAGCTAGATGAATTCATCCAGAGAGAGAAAGTATAAAGCAGCCAGGACCAAGCCCTGCAGTGCTCTTACTTTTAGAGGTTGGACATAGGAGGACGAATCTACAAAACAAATTGAGAAGATGGGGGCGGGGGTTGTCTCAGGCGGTACACAGAGCTGTATGTTACATGTGCCACGAGGGCCATTATACAGACTGAAGGTGATGGCCCTGGTGAGAACACTGTGCTTTGGAGAATAAACGAATTTGCTAAGTGATAACAAGCACTGTTTCTCTGCAGCTGTCTAGTTAGTATTTACTTTTGTTGCTTTTACCTATTTTGCTAATTTTATATATGATTATACACAATAGTTAATTTGCACTTGTAAAATAAATCAAGTACTAATTTTTCATTATCTCCTTGTTATATGAATATTCTGTTACTATCTTTGAGGCTGCTTATTACAGGATGATTGTTTAATTTCATTTTTGATTTGGTTGACTTTTTTCTTTCTTTCACGGTATTGTTTTTGTCTACATGTAACAGAATGCCTGACTGCAGTAAGAAGGGGTTACTTTTGCTTACCAACAAAATATGTAAGGCAGATGATCTAGCAATTCCATAATTCAATTAAGAATCCAGACTTGCCCTGGCCAGAGTGGCTCAGTTGGTTGAGCATCATCTCATGTACTGGGAGGTCACAGGTTAATTCCTGTGGCATGCCCGAGGTGTGGGCTCGATCCCCAGTAGGGGGCGTGCAGGAAGCAGCCAATGGATGTTTCTCTCTCTATCCCTCTCCCATCCCCTCTCTCTCTAAAATCAATTGAAACATATTTTTTAAAAATCCAGACTTATTCTGCCTTTTTAATCTACCATCCCCAACTGATAGCTTTTTCCTCAGGCTTGCCTGATGGCTGCAAACCTCTAGCCATCACTTCTATATTCCAGCAGGAAGAAGGACACAGAGCAGAAGGCCTGTCCTCGCTGAATCTATTCCTTTTCATTAAGAAAACAAATGCTTTCTTTGAAGCCATGTCAATAGAAGTCTGCTATATCTCTTTGACCAGAATTAGGCTCAATAGCCATGCCAAGTTGCAAGGGAAACTGGGAATGTAACTTTTTTTTATATATTCATGTATTATCATTCATTTAATTATATTTAGATATTTAGCAGGACTCAAGGTATCCTGTACATATCACATTCTAGCCTCCCTCTACAAATATTTGTCTTTACTTTTTAAAAATTTATTTCTTTAATCAAAAATTTTAGTTTATGCCCAGCCGGTGTGGCTCAGTGGTTGAGCGTCGACCCATGCACCAAGAGGTCGCTGGTTAGATTCCCAGTCAGGGCACATGCCCAGGTTGTGGGTCCAATCCCCAGTGGGGCATGCAGGAGGCAGCCAGTCGATGTTCACTCTCATCAATGTTTCTATCTCTCTCTCCCTCTCCCTTCTTCTCTCTCCCTCTCCTTAAGAAAAAAAGAAAATAAAAAGAAAAAATAAATTAAAATAAAATAAAATTTAGTTTAAACAACTTAATTTTAATTGATATACAGTAACATTTAACCTTTTCCATGTACAGTTTTTTGAGTTTTGAAAAATATAGACAGCCCTGGTAGGTTTGGATCATTAGTTAGAGCATCGGCCTGCTGACCAATGAGTCACAGGTTCAGTTCCAGTCAAGGGCACGAACCTCGGTTGCATTTTGACCCTGGCCCTGGTCAGGCAACCAGTCGATGTTTCTCTCTCTCTCCCTCTCCTTCCCTCCCTCCCACTCTGTCTGAAAATAAATAGGGAAAAAAAGTACCCTCTGGTGAGGATTAAAGAAACAGACAAAAATAGACAGAGGTGACTATTGTTAACTGTGACTACTGATGCTTCCCCAAATTT